ATTAAGCCCTTAAACAGCTCCCCCTTCAGGCCTTGATTATTCTAAAGATTAGCAGAGAAGCAAAACATGTCACAATTGATCTGTTGGCAGAAAATGTTGCCTGCAAGGCGCCCTGATTATGTAAAACAACATACTGGTAAATGGCAGCTTATTTCCCCTCAGCAGATCTGGCCCTGCTCTCTAGAACACCTGAAAGAGACTAGTCACAGGGGTAAGGTATACTTTATATGAGTAATGTCTGTAGGCTCAGGCAGGGCCGGCTCCAGGGTTTTGGCCGCCCCAAGCAGCCAAACAAAACAAAACAAACAAAAAAAGCCGCGATCGCGATCTGCAACGGCAATTCGGCGGGAGGTCCTTCGCTCCGAGCGGGAGTGAGGGACCGTCCGCCGAATTGCCACCGAATAGCTGGACGTGCCGCTCCCCTCCGGAGTGGCCGCCCCAAGCACCTGCTTGCCAGGCTGGTGCCTGGAGCCGGCCCTGGGCTCAGGCCCCGGACACTCCAGAGCCAGCATTCAAATGCCTGGTTTACACTTAAAAGTTAGAAAGACACAACTACAGCACTCAGGGGTGTGAAAAATTCGCACTCCCGAGGGCGGTAGCTATGCCAACCTAGCCCTGGTGTAGGCATGGCTAGGTTGATGAAAGAAGTGTTCTATCTACCGCTGCTCAGAAAGGTGGATTACCTTCGTCGACGGAAAAAACCCCTTCCTTCGCTGTAGAAAGCATCTACACTACAGGTCTACAGAGGCATAACTGCAGTGTCATAGCTGTGCTGCTGTAGTGCCCATAGCATAGACATGGCCAAAGAGTTCTAGATGACTGCAACAGGCATCAGTTCCTACTGACGTAACGTGAAACCTTTGAGACAAGAGCTGAAAAGTACGACTAGTGGTTCTGCCCAACTGCTTTGTCACAATGATCATTATGATGAGTAACGTCATTTTAAAGCCTAATTATGAAGGTATATTTATTATCCCACACTTGGCCGTATCACTGGGGTACTTGCGTAATTTCACAGATGAGTGACACTTAAGGCAGCCCATTACTGTCAGCAGCCTCCATCTCATTTCACGCTAATTGCTCTCCAAAATTGGTAGGTTGCAGTTTTGACATGAAAACATTTTCAACAGTATCATTAATTTAGGGGGGAAATTTCATGGAGTAATTACAGCCAACATCCTCAGCCGTTCCTCATTATCTCCCCCAGCCCCTGCACACTTTAATGCTGATTACCAAAAAGGCGTATATTATCTACTCCTAATTCTGAAGTACCATAAATGGATCTCTTTAAGCATCTTCAAAGAGAAGGTAAAGGTTACCTGATATATCTAATGGCTTGAGTCGCCAAAATACTTAGTTTTTCTTATGGTCAAAAGACTTAACTAATTTATACTCTCCCCCCCCCCAGATATTATTAAATGCTATCAGTGTTGAATTGGAGAAGAACAGTATGTGTAGATTTTCCTTTAGCTCAAGTGTCCGAGCCCAGTCATTTTTGGAGCAGGAGGATCTGAGTTCTATCCCTGCTGCTGCTTCTGCCATGAAGTTCCAAGTAGGCACTACGTGCAGCAGAATGATGCCTATCGAGGCCTACATAGCCTTGAATTTCTTAAAATATTTAATACATTAACTTAATACATTTCTGCTCCTCTTGCTTCTTTCACCTCTGTAGAAAATCTTCTTCCAAGGAAAAGGTCTGTTCTCCAGTTCTTGCAAGTACATAACCCAGTCCCAGTGGGGAACAATATCTTATCTGTATTTGCCCAAATAGTCATGCTGTGACATCCCATCTCAACGTAACAATATTCATTTCTTTATATTGTGATGTCATATTTTCACATGGCAATACATTATTGCGCACAGCCACAGCAGGCAACATCTACATGCTTCACTGCATCATCATGGGGCCTTGAAACATTTTTGAATTGTCCGGTGATTGCAGGTGCAGGAGGGATCCCATGGAAGTTGGAACCATCTTGCCAATGCGAGGAGAGATGGCAATCCTTGGGTTAGTGGGAGTTAGGCACCTGTATGTCAAGTGAGGTGGGGAAGCAGATCTTTGGTAATATCCTTTATCCCGAGTGAGCTTGATGTCTCATCTGATGGTGGCAGAGTGAGAGCTTAGAGCACAGACCTTTGCTTTTTTTGAGACACTACTTGGAAAGACCCAGGAACAGAAATGATAGGCTCTAAAGAAATCTGCTCCAGCCCTCCACAAATGGAAGGATAAGTCAGCCCAAGATGGGTCATCTGAAGGGGACTGGGGAGAAAAAAGGGGTGATTCTGAAAGACTGAAAAAAAATATACCAGTATCTCTCATTTTATATAAACTCCCAAGAAGATTTTATATTTTCAGATTAACACAGCTGTTCAATCCATGTTAAATCCATTCTCTGTATTACTCAGAACCCTCTTCAAAATCACAAATTTCCCTATTAAAGAAACAGACACGTTGATGGTTAATTCTGGCTCACATCACTAGCTTACCTATCAAAGCCTTAAAACAAAACCTGACCTTCATTAAATGTTCTGATTCTGTGTCACTCTTTGCAGCATGTATCTAAACAATCTCTTAGTGGCTCTTCACACTACATAGTTCTTAGGATCTGTAACATTGGCACTATTGTAAGTAACATCTTTTCTATCTATTTTAAGTTCAAAGTATAGACATCCTGTCAGGGCCGGCTCTGGCTTTTTTGCCTGGGGCGGCAAAAAAGCCTCCCGCCGCCCCCCGCCCCCTGGCGGGGAGCGCGGCGAGCCCGGCCGCGGCCCCGCTCTCCCCGGCCGGCCGGAGCGCCGGGAGGAGGACGGCCCCGCTCTTCCTGGCTGGCCGGAGCGCCGGGGGGAGGGCGGGGAGCCCGGCCGCGGCCCCACTCTCCCCAACCGGCCAGAGCGCTGTGGGGAGGGCGGCGAGCCCGGCAGCGGCCCTGCTCTCCCCGACCAGCCGGAGTGCCGGGGGAGGGTGGCCCCGCTCTTCCCGGCCAGCCGGAGTGCCGGGGGAGGGTGGCCTCGCTCTTCCCGGCCGGCCGGAGCGCCGGGGGGAGGACGGCGAGCCCGGCCGCGGCCCCGCTCTCCCCGGCCGGCCGGAGCGCCGGGAGGAGGGCGGAGAGCCCGGCCGCAGCCCCGCTCTCCCCAACCGGCCGGAGCGCCGGGGGGAGGGCAGCGAGCCCAGCCGCAGCTCCGCTCTCCCCGGGTGAGCGCCGCCCCCCTCCAGGTGCCGCCCCAAGCACGTGCTTGGTAGGCTGGTGCCTGGAGCCGGCCCTGCATCCTGTAGATCAGTGGTTCTCAACCTTTCCAGACTACTGGACCCCTTTCAGGAGTCTGATTTGTTTTGTGTACTCCAGGTTTCACCTCACTTAAAAACTACTTGCTTAGAAAATCAGACATAAAAATACAAAAGTGTCACAGCACACTATGACTGAAAAATTGCTGACTTTATAATTGTTACCATATAATTATAAAATAAATCAACTGGAAATAAATATCGTACTTACATTTCATTGTGTAGTATATGGAGCAGTATAAGCAGTAATTGTCTGTATGAAATTTTAGTTTGTACTGACTTCGCTAGTGCTTTTTATGTAGTCTGATGTAAAACTAGGCAAATATCTAGATGAGTTGATGTACCCCGGGAAGACTTCTGCGTGCCCCCATGTTGAGAACTACTGCAGCAGATAATATATGCTAGTCAGGATTCGTATTCAGTATTATATCAGATTGAGAGGCAGGATTGCTGATCTTGTCCATTGTGGGCTAAACATATCTGTCAAGTTGCTGTGTTGATCTTTCACAGCACAATAGGATCAAAACTTGTTTCAGAACATAATCATGCTATGTTAACTGGTCATCACGCTGCAATGTGGTGAGGATGCTTCCAAAACCATCACCACAGGTTGTGAAAAATATCATTGTGTCATAGACTGAGTGCCATATCTATCCTCACCAAAAGCTTGAGATACAGGATTTCTGTAAAAAGCAACAAAGAGTCCTGTGGCACCTTAAAGAGTAACAGATGTATTGGAGCATAAGCTTTCGTGGGTAAATGCCCACTTCGTCAGACTTCTGCCAACTTCGTCAGACGCATTTCTGGGATTTCCTCAGCTCTCCAGGGCTGCCTTGGAACATCTCTGGATTTTTGGTAGTGCCAGGGTGGATGCCAAACTGTGAAACCGGCATTGGACAGAATAAGGGGGCAAGGATGGAGAGTCCAGGAAGGGCACAGAGTGAATACTCCCCTTTGGAAGTATTGCCTGGATTCACTTTACATCGAGGACTGGTCACTTTTCTCATTACATGTATTTAATGTCAATATTTTCTCTTCTGTCCAAAGGCAGAGAGAATCCTCAAGGCTGGGTGGGGTATGGGAGGGTTCATCTGAGGAGAAAATCCCAAGCATTTCACTAGCCCATTGTAGGCAGGGGGCAAGGTGAGTGCCCAGGCTCCCGAGTGAGAAAGGCTGAGGCTGTTTTTTAGGTGCACAAGGCCCTGCATGTGGCTGTTGCCTCACAGGCCCTGAGGCCAGGCACCAAGAAGGTACAGGCCACCTGTGGGCTCTCCTGGTGCTCTTTGGCCACTCCCAAGCCCTCGGGCTGGGTCACCAAGATGAGGGGTCCCTTCCCTGGGTGGTCGTCATAGTGACAGTGGATTTGCATCTCTTGATGGTAAATATTTGATTCCAGCCCTGAAGTCCCCAAGGATTGGGGTGAAATGTCCCTATGGGGAGGACTCCAGTTTAGTGGAGGTCTGTCAGCAGGGGCACTCTATAGTCATTCTTTATGGTTACAGAGAGTGATTGGTCGAGAGACGCTGGGCTGGAGGGAGGCGCTCTAGGTTGCGTCTCTATTGTCAGAATGCTGGAGGAGTACTGGGCAGCGAGATGAAGGAGCAGCGACGCTCTAGCCCTATCTCCTTGGCCGCGAAAGGGTTGGAGCTGGTGCGCTAAGCGGAGACTCTATGGTTAGGCGAGGCCGGCGCTGGCAGCGGGGTGCCGGGAAGACAGCGCTCTGGGCCGGCATCCGGGATCTCTATGGTCGGAGGAGCGCCAGCCGGAGAGTTGCGTACGGGTTGGAGCGGCGCTCTAGGCCGGCTGGATCTCTATGCTCCGGGCCGGTTGCTAGGCTGAGCGGGGCCTAGGCCGCGGCGTGTCCGGGGCCGCCATGGCCGCCTCCCCGTCCCCGGCGGCGGGTCCCCCGGACGGGCTCTGCGTGCTGTGCTGTGGGGAGCTGGAGGTGGTGGCGCTGGGCCGCTGCGACCACCCGATCTGCTACCGCTGCTCGGTGCGGATGCGGGCGCTGTGCGGGGTGCGGTACTGCGCGGTGTGCCGGGAGGAGCTGGGCCAGGTGAGGCCGGGGAGAGCGCTCGGGAGGGGGCCGGGGGCGGCGGGCGGGAGGGATGAGAAGGGAGGAGGGTCCCTGGGGCGAGCCCCGGGGCCGCGGGGCAGGAGCGGGGCTGGGCAGGGTGGGACTTCCCACGTGGACACTCTGCTCCGGGTGGGTCTGTCTCGCCGCGGGAGGAAGCTGGAGCCGCTGTAACTCGAGTCGCGGCTTGGGTTGCACAAGGCCTCGGAGTAGTTTAGACAGTGACCTGCCGTCGCGTGGCCTAGTTCCTGCTTTAGGTGAGCAGTGTGGGTCGGGCGGGCGGGCTGGCTGCGGGGCAGGGTCTGGGATATGGGCCGAAACCTTCGGGGCCTTCCGACTCTGCGTCTCGGATCCGAGACCCCTCGCTGCAGGGGCGGGAAGAAATCCCTCTGGGCTGCCAAGGGCCCAGCACTGCCCAGCCATCAGGGCACTAGCCAGGACGTGGTGCCGCCCTCTTCGTTGTGAAGTGGTCTCCGGCAGGCTGAGCAACCTAGCTAGAGCCATGGGCTGCTGATCTAGTATGGAGAACCTGCAGGGCTAAATATGGTAACATGTTCCCAGGGAGCAGGGCCAAGTATTATTTATCATTCCAGAGACCATCTGTTTGTTCTACTTGGGGTTTGGAGCTGTCACGACTATACAAGCTAATTAATCTAATAAAGCGCAAAGACAGCCTTATATACAGAGGGTGGGGACCCAGATCCACCCTGTTTGTCTGGTAACACCCTAGAGACCAAGATACACACAGCCAGTAGTACAAAAGCCGGTTTAGCTTGAGGAAGGGAGGTTTCAGTCTCACTAACAAAACCACCAAGTTGGGAATTAGTGTGTTGGGACTCCTGGAGTTGTAGGAACCCTGCCAGTAAAGTTTACCTGTTAAAGCAAACTTTAATAGAAAAGAGGATTGATGATGTAGTCCCATAGGGTCACACAGCTGTTCTGGACATGGGTTCTACTTCTGTGGGCCACTGAAATGCTGAACAGATTTGTGCTGGAGGTCAGACTGTGGAAATGATGGATCCTAGAATAGTTTATGGCTAAATCAGATCTGTAGCTAGAGAGAAATCCTTTCTATTTCTTTCACATAGAAAAGCTTTCTACCTTCACTTCTGGGTATATTGCTTGGCCTTGAGCTCTGCCCCTAATGATGCAGCTACTGTTCAGGTGCAAAGAGAAGGATATTGAAAAGCAAGATATTAAGAGATTATTTCTCCTCTTTGATTTTTATTTTAAATATTTAAGTAAACCTATCCTTGTTCTCTAGTATTAGTATTAAGGAGACACTGAATCAGTCTGCCTGTCGCCTTGCTGGATTCTTGCTTTGATTTTAAGCTTGGGGGAAGGTGTTTTACATGCTCTGTTCTGGACTTGCGCAAGTCCTGTATTACAAAACATCATGATGGTGACGTATCTACTTTTACAGCTCCTTCAAGTAGGAGGATTCTGCAGTGCTTTCTTTAAACAAGGAAAAAACTTATCTGAACTTTATTTAATGTGCTTTTATATGTTGAAATTGACCCCTTCTTTACAAATCAGTATTGTGAACTCCTACTGCAGTGCACAAGAGCAAGTCAGCCACATCCAGTTATCTAATTGCATAATCTGAAATGTCTCTTTGGAAGGGGAGCAAGAATGTAGCAAGGTGGCAAACAAGCTTATTTTTGAAACATAAAAAAACTTTCTCCCACTTGAGTTCGTCAGAGAGGATGAGATGATTTCTGGGTCAGTGCAAAAGGCAATATAGATAATGCTTCAGCATGTGCAATATCCTTTTATTATTATTACTTCGAATGTACATCCTGAGACAATGAAATGTGTTGGGTTTTCAGACCCGTGAATTTATGCAGGGTGACTTTGGAGCAGCCTCTGTGTGTTAGCTTTCTGCTGCTCAACAAACCTCTTCTGAATTTCTGCCTCTCTTCTCAACAAACTTCTGACTTGTCCAGACATCATCCTGGTATGTAGTTGTAGAGATAAAAGATGTTGGAACCATATTGAATTACTGAACTTTCAAGGTAGTTGGCCCTGAAGATGCTGATCTTTTCCCATGGTAGAAACTACTTGCCACTTATGCATGCTACATTCTTTGCTGTCATGGTTCCTCACTGCTTTCCCAGTTCTCCATTTTTACAGACTTAATTCCCTGTCCAGCCACTGGATTGCCCTTCCTGTCTGCAGTTCATATTTTCACTCATATTTACTCCATTATTCTGTTACCTATCCTCACTTGATGTTAGATTTAGTGTATTTTCCATCTACTTTTCTCAGAGTGTCAATATCAGCAGGCACTTCTCTTTGCATAATATTAAGAATATAATCTTTGGGGACTGGAAGTGCCAGGGAACTAATCAGCCATTCATCACTAGGTTGGAGATTTGAGTACAGCCAGGGTTGGTAGTGAGCCTCTGATGGCTGGTGACTGATGTGGAATGAGTTTGAAGGATCTCAGTCCAGTTTCCAAAGAAAAATGTTCACGTCACTAAGAACACCGTAATCAACACTTTTCATTGGCGGTCTCAGTAAACAAGTCAAAAAGATGAATGGAGTCTTAACAGCCTTCGTACCCTGAAGGGGAGGTTCTCTGGGTCAGAGTTGAGGCACCTTGATGGCAGCGTGGAGAACCTTGCGCTAGTGCTTCCTGTTCTATAAATAAGACTTCAGGTTCCAGAGCCGCAAGCTGTTTTTCAAGAATGTTAAATTCACATTTAAAAATTGTCAGCCTTCAAAATGTTTTTTATTATTTGTGAAGCACTGATGTGGGGAGAGATCTGAGCCATTTAAGAAATAATAATTAACACCCAAATTGACTGATTGAAATGGTATTCTAACAATGAATTGTAGGTGCTAGGAAATTAAGTCTGAACCGTTGTTTTTTCCTTGCCAAATGAAGGGCTCCTCCCAAATAAACTGTTTGCATTGGCTGCTTTTCAATTACTCTAATCATTTTAGCAATGTGAAGATCGTTTATCGATGTGCATAGGAGACCGAGAGTTTGTGGAAGCCAGAAGTCCATTGTTTGTTTTTCTCCTCATTACTATGTAAATTTGTTAACAATAGTTTAGAATGCCATACCACTTGATTTAAAATTCTATTTAGGGATATTGATAGGATGATAATTTTTACCCAGACTACGTACATCTTCTGCAGTTCTGTCTTTGTCTTGTTGTATTCTGATGGTTGAAGATCTTGGTTTAATCCACCCACCCAGGTGAGGAAATGCAGATTGGTAAATATGTAATGAGTCAAGTGCATGTGGTTTTATCCACATGGTGGAATGAGAACAAAGCTTAAGTACATGAAATGAGAGTGAATAAAAGGTGGACATTCTACATTCACTTAGTGATGATCACAACTATGAAACATGAAGTTAAACTAACAGCAGGTGCAAGAGAAATGATTATTTGACATTAAACTACCTGATTTCAGAACATAACATTTAAATGAAGGTGGTAGTGGAAAGAGGAGTCTCCTCCCTCTAAGCTTCTTTGTAGTAGCAGGTAACGTTGCTGGGGAAAGTATTTTAGAAAATGGATAAAAGCTTTGTCTCAGTCTGGTAGTTTCTGCACGTGTGAATAATCCTCTGGGTCTGCTTCAAGGCCTGGGATAGAAGTAAATTCTGTGACGAGCCTTTACAGATTCCCATTCCTGGGATGTGCTGGCAGTGCAGCTTGGCTGGTAGAGCGCTCTCCTGCCCCTTCCCTCCCTGTTCTCAAACTTTCTGAGGGCAAGGTTATAAAAGGGGGTGTGCTGTTCCAGCAGCCTGCATTCCTTCAGAACAGACTGGAACCTCTCTGGCTGGGTAAGACTTGTGTGCCTACCTGTCTGAGGTTGTGGTACGTTTTCTGTTGGTCCTCTTCACGCTCTCTGAGGCTGAATATGATGTCAAGTACCAGTGTGTTCAAACATAGTGCATCTGTAGCTTAGAATGAATTGCTTGGCAAGGAAAGCACCTATGCTGTAACCTAAGCATGCTCGCAGGGATAGACTCTATAGTTGTAGGCTTATTACCTCTAAGCATCTAGTTTCCTGCTGCTGTCCAAGGGAGCAGCAAACTGATATATTTCTGTCTTTGCTGAAACCAGCTGGTGGTCTTAGCCACGTGGACAGGGCATTAACCTTTGCAGCTATTCAGTTTTGTAGCAATTGCTATATTTTGTGGGCTCAGCTTTTGTTCCTTATGCCATCTTTCACCCATTTGAATTATTTCAAACAATCCTTTTATTGTAATACCTGGCTCTTATATAGCACATTTCATCAGTAGATCTCAAAGCACTTCACTATTTTTAGTGTATTTAGCCTCACAATACCCCTGTGAGGTAGTACTAGAGTGGCTAAGTGACTAGCCCAAGGTCACACAGGAAGTTTCTAGTGGAGCAAGGAATTGAACCTGGGTCTCCCAAGTCATAGGCTAGTGTCCTAACCACTGGGCCATCCTTCCTCACTCATAGTTGCTCCAGATATTGTCTTTGTTTTTTAGTGGCTACAGACTTCCTTTTTAGCCCACCTGTAGTACTGTTGTGTGTGGGGGAAAAAAATCAGGATCGACTGTGGCAAATGACAAGTAAGTCCTTGACTGAAAAGAGTGGAGCTGTAGGCACTACAGCTGGGTTGCTTTGTAGAATAGGTCTGTTAGTAGCATAGTGTTTGTGTGTGATCAGGAAAGGCAGCTAGGAATGTCAGTATGACTAAATATCCTCTGGTGACACACTAATGCTGACTGAAGTGGCAACAGTAATGGTCATAGAATCAACATAGTGTTTGGGGCGGATGAAAGTAGGTTTAAAGATGAACGACAGTGTAGTGTATAATGGAGTAAGAAAACAGGCCATACTTGTTTGAGTCATATGCACATTTAGGGATATGTCATGGAGAATACTGTTTTGGTTAAATGATATTACTTTGGAAGAAGCCAGTAGACTCATAATGATCATGCTACACGCACACACAGTACCTCAGACCTGCTATTGAGCTATTGTGAGGTATTTCATGAACAGTAGCAGTCCTAGTGTCAACTGAAAAACAATTAGAGATCTACTGTAACTTGTCTGAATTGGTGCACGTGATTCTGACTGTTGCATTATTGGTGTGATTCCTTTGTGTTTCTCTGTTCTTGGCTGGCTGTTTATTAGGGAAGAGAATTATGTTTCCTTTTTATTGGGCTGCTCATTTCTTTGTAAACAATACTTACACAGGATGCATCTGAATTTACTAATCCTTTAAAAAAATCTTTTTTGCATTTTTTTTCTTATTGACTCTTGTTAGCTTGTTTCCTTGATGAGACTCTGGCTTATGTCACTGAGCACTTACATCATAAAAGTTCATTGTATTATCTCCCAGCAGCACATAGGGAGTGGGGTGGGAACCAGTGTTAAATGTCTGGGATTCAATACACACTTACCAATATTCGTAACAAGTTTCGGTTATAATGGTGATGGAGTGTAGACCACAATAACATACAACTTCATATGTGCTTTCTCTAATCTTTCCTGTTTGTTGTCTGTAGGTGGTCTTTGGATGGAAGCTCGCATCCTTTTCAACAATACCGATCAACCAGTTGCAGCATGAGAAGAAATATGACATCTATTTTGCTGATGGAAAAGTTTTTGCACTGTATAGGTAAAACTTAGCATTCTCTTCTCCTTCCTAGCATTATCCTATTTTCCCTTCCTTTTTTCCTTGGGTCATCTGAGCAGTGGGCTTTGAAACAGGAAGCACACCTAGGAGATGACCTTGATTATAGCTGTGGTTTTGTCTTAGCCCAACAACCCTGGCATCTTCAGTTGATTTCTGGGTATATTGAGTTCAGCAAGATGAGGGTAGACAGATTAGAAAAAGGGTCCTAGGCAGGTACAGCAGGTAGCCTGTGGCTTTAATATGACATCTCTAAAATAATCCCTTGTCCTCAGTATGTAACAGGAAATGCATGCTGCCCTTAGGTAAAACAGTGCAGACTCGGCTTGTGGAAATTTCATTGCAATGTGTGTATTTTGTACCATGCTGCAGAATGGAGAAAATTGAACATGTGTGCCTGGAAATGTCCAAGAGACCTGGGGCTGCAAAACGGACACATCTTTAAGTCTGAAATCCTAGGTCTTCAGCGGCTTAATATGTGATTTGTCATTAAAAGTCACTTTTCCGTCTTTCCCACCTGCGGCCATGAGCAAGATGCTGAGTGACCTCTACTCCTTATATTGGTGCTGTCTCTGTTAGTAAGAACAATATCATCACCTGATTTATTAATCATGTTTTTTCATAGTCTTTAAGAACCAACCAAGAATGGGACCGCATTGTGTTTGTATAGTGCCTCACACGGAGTAGTAGATAGATTGTTAAGTCCCTGTCTTGGAGAGCTAATTAGACAATACAGACTGGTGGGGGAAAGGAGTGTAACACAAGCAGAATGAACAATGGGATGGCAGCAAATGTCATGTTAGTTCAATGTTTGGGTTTTTTGTGTGGATTCAGTTAGGAGGGGGATCAGCTAAATGGAAAGATAGGGGACGGGAGACGGGACGTGGAAGGGTATAGGGCTGAGGAGTAAATGCAGCCAATGCCTTTTCTTGGAGACTAGTGCAATGCATTCAGTCTTGTTTGGCCCAAGGATGGGATTCAATAGGTGCGTCGGTATTCTCTTACGGCTTGGCGTTTGCTGGATTGGATAGTGGGTTTGGTGGCCTTCTGACCTAGAATGGAAAGTGGAAGTATGTTGTGGGATTTTGCTATACTAACTGTCTGAGGAGTTTTCAGATAAGTGAGATACGGTTCCACTGTACTAAGTGTTTCCAGAAACATGTTGCTTGCTGCCTCCTATTATTAGTAAATGACTACAGGATAAGTAGGAAATGCATTCTGATGAATTAAATACGTTTGCTCTGAGCAGTTGTATTTTGTAATGATGTGTCTGGTTAGAAATGTCACAGTTTTTGAAAGCCAAACCCAGTGATTTGTTGCTGAGGTTTCTGAATGCCAGGAATAGCTGCAGAATGACAGTCAGGAGCTAAACCCATTAAGCTGTTCCCTAATAGCCGGGCCTGTGTTTCTGCTTCTGCTATCACCTTGGAGAATGGTGCTTTACTTGTTTCCTCTTTCAGTACTAGGGCTTTTCCTTTTTTTCCCCCATTACACTCATATTGAATTAGCTGCAGATTAGGTCGCTGTTCGACTATATCATGTAGATACAATATTGCATGAAGTTGTTGCCTGTCGAAGAGATTTAACTTGATTGGATTTTAACAAATCACAGATTAAACTGCAAACTTCGTACCATTACTTTGGAGGAAGTTGAGAACACACCCTTGTGTTAGAATCCTCTAACACATTACCGCCTGTTCATAGGCCGTGCCACTCTAGTATTGTATCACTTTTCAAGCAGTAGCTGTACTGCTCCCCTCCTGCTATTCAAGCTTCCATATAGTTTACTTCAGTTTTGCTCCTGGAATGATCGAGGGTATTTTTGGAATAAGCATAATCCTAACCTCCTTGAGTTAGAAATTGCTGTGACTGCTTAAAAAAAAGTAACACTGTTGCTTATAAAACATTGTTCTTTTCAGTGAAGTGTAGGTTCTTTTTCTGAAGTGTAGGTTTTTGGAATGGGATTTGAAATAACCTTGATAAACCTTCCTCGAATATCTTTGTCCTTTAGGAAGCTACTGCAGCATGAATGCCCTCTGTGTCCAGATGTGCGGCCATTCAACACAGTTGTGGACTTGGAACAGCACATGAGAAAACAGCATGAGCTCTTCTGTTGTAAACTGTGTGTTAAACACCTGAAGGTGAGCCATACAAATGTGCTTTAGGGCAGGGAAAAAGAGACTTCATTGCATGGGAATCTGTGTAACTGTAAGTTTGTAGGAGACTTGCTGGAGAGGGAGGGGCAGAACGGAAAAGAGGACATGGTGGAGAAATGGAATCAATGACCCAGTAGAAGTTTCTTCCACCCCACCAATTCTGTTTGAGTGACTTGCAGCATTTTATAACCACCGCTTGTCATAAATTGGTTAATTAAGGAAATCTAAGGCTTTCAGTCTGGATTCTATTTTAAATATATATATTTATAGCCCAGCCATCTCAAAAAACCTTATGACGTTAGCTCCACCCCAGGTGTGGATTAATGCCATGGGTCTAATTTCCTGCTTGCAGTCACATCAGAAAGTCTGACTATAGAGATCTGCTTTCTGTAGAACCACTTGTTTTTTTTTTTAAAAAACCAACCCAAAACTAATTCTAAAAAAGTTCAGCGCCAATTCAGAGAACCAGGTGCATAATAGGACCTGAGAGTCCTCCTCAAGAGCAAAACCAACTCAGAGGTATTTAGAACTTGCAGTGAGTTCATGTATATGTTGAGAAATCACCTGAGCAAGTTAAACGGAATAGAATTGTATTTCATTACCCTGTGTGGCTGTGCAGAGGCAGATCTGTTGTATCTTGCTATAAAGTCGTAGTGACACGGGATGAAACAGCAGTACTTAACTTGCTCACACACAATGCGATAACTGACTGTTTTAACACCTGTTTTGCAACACTAGATTCCACTGGAAAGCTGAGTTGTCTCTAACCTTGACAGGTCACTATACAGTGGGCCTTAAAACTGCATATTGCTATCTTTTTTTCCTACATGGATTCTGTTTTTAATGGCTATTGTTATGTGGCCTGCAATGTGCAGGAAGTCAGATTAGATTATCATAATGGAGATGATCATAATGGTCCCTTCTGGTCTTAAAGTCTGAGTGTGTGTAGAGCTAGGCAGTTAATACTTTATACCATCTGAAAGGTTAAATTTGAGCTTTTAGAGTAGAAAGCAGCACTCTAGCCGAAGTGGTTCAGCTAAAATCACCAGCTGCTGCTGAAAGAACACTTGTAACCTCTAACCTCCAATATGACTGATACTCATCAGCGCTGGTTAATGCAGAGGGAAGGAATTCCTTCAGAGCATGAAGAAAATATATTTGGCACTCTTCACCCATCATTTTGTGATTACGTTTTTTACTTTCACTGACATTGAATAAGAAATACCAGGCTGGACGCGGGCACTTAAGTAGACAGTAGATAGAAAGAATGGGTCTGTTATTGGTTATTGATAAGAGCCCAGAGCAATAATCGTATTGAGCACTTGCACAGTGCTTTACGCTTTTCCAAACACTTCATAAACATTTTTATTCTGGAGAACTAAATGTGGACTGTGCCCATGGAAAAGAAGGTCCTAGTTCCATTGAGAATTAAAGCTGCTCCAGTCTGTTGATGTTAATGAAGCCTGAGGCCTGGTCCACACTAACCCCCCACTTTGGACTAAGGTACGCAAATTCAGCTACGTTATTAACGTAGCTGAATTCGAAGTACCTTAGTCCGAACTTACCGCGGGTCCAGACGCGGCAGGCAGGCTCCCCCATTGATGCCGCGTACTCCTCTCGCCAAGCTGGAGTACCGGCGTTGACGGCGAGCACTTCCGGGATCGATTTATCGCGTCTAGACAAGACGCAATAAATCGATCCCAGAAGATCGATTGCCTGCCGCCGAACCAGGAAGTAAGTGTAGACGTACCCAAAGTAATCCCTGCCCAAGATGAGTTTAATACCTTTGGTCTAGACTAGATATATATTGAATATCTACCACCAGTTTTTGGAGAGTCTTTGGCAATATTAATTTTTTGGTTTGCTTTCAAACAGTTGTATCTAATCAATGCCTAATGTCGTTTGTATATATGTGTATTTTGTTGGTATCCTCGGTTTTATAAGCTCTCTTCCTAGAGAAACAAATTCCATGCCAGTAGTGACAAGATATTGGCAAGTGGTGCAGCAGTTGTGGACTGAGCCAATGTTTGTGTGTAGGCATGGCACCCAGTAGCTGTATGAGGAATGTTACCAAATGCATAACAGCTGACTCATTTCATTTTACATTTTCCCAATCTTGGGTAAGCAGAATACTAAGTGTTTTCAGAAGATGGTTTAGATTTAAAGACTTTTCCTACAGATTTTGTAGCCCAAACTGCTACATCGTTAGTACATGAAACAAAATTTACTAGGAGAAAAGTGAAACTGACTGGTCTGTTTTCCTTGTTCCGGATGAGTGAAATGTAAATTAGATTTAAGTTGGAGAGGGACTTGAATTCTTACACCCATTCACTGAACCATTTAACCACAGATTGTTCATAGCCTGAAAGTGGGAAATTGCTTTGACTAGTAATGTTGGCCAATGACATCAAGACTGGTAGAACCTGATTTACTCCATCAGTAAACTGCATAGTTCTCTGTTGACATGAGGTAATTCTTTCTTTAAGATCTTTACACATGAACGTAAGTGGTATTCCCGCAAAGACCTCGCTCGACATCGAATACATGGGGACCCAGACGACACATCTCATCGTGGGCATCCCCTTTGCAAATTCTGTGATGAGCGTTATTTAGACAACGACGAGTTATTGAAACACTTGAGACGAGATCACTATTTCTGCCACTTTTGTGATTCAGAGGGTGCTCAGGAATATTACAGGTTTGTGAGAGTGGCTGACGTGGGTTTCTTTTAATTCAGTTAAAGATTTCAATCTTGACGGAAAGGTGGCTGCATCTGCTTTCAAGCTCTGAGCGTAGGTTGTCCAAAGGCACCCAACGCAAGAGTGAGCAGATTCCTTTCGATCTTTGTTTGAATTTGCATTGAGGATGGAACGCTGGGACTGACAGACCCACCTTTTCTCCTGTTCGGCGGCTTGTCTCTTCTGAAGCCAACAGCCAGGCTGTACTGAAAATGGGATGTATGTATTGCTTAGCGCTAGATCAGTGCAAACGGAGCCATTGAGCTTTAAAAGTTGTATAAAACTGTATATATGCATGAGAGATACTGATTATACCATGTGCTGTGCAGTGACTTGCCCTTAAATGCTGTGGCAAGAGGCAATCCCGCTGAACGCAGCAGCAGTCCTCAGTGGCAGACTGGAAATGCTGAGCGTCTATGGCTACATTTACATTTAATAAAGGAAGGGAGGTTTGTAAAGAACTATTTAATTAGTGCAGCAGCTGGTCTCTATTTTTGTGTTTAAAATCAATGTATTTATTACTGCTCCCTCGCTTTCCGTTTTTAAGTGAATTTGCTGGTACTTAATTCTCACGGGGGAGCCTGAGGGTTTGGCAGGTATCTGAGCCATAGTTGGGAAATTCGCCTTTGAGACTTAGGAAGACACGATGGATGGTTTAGGATTATTGGACAGATACATCAGATGGATGTTTCTGATGATTATTTCACTACAAATCATTTTAACCGTTGACATTTAAACTGTCATCTTTAGGGCTCACATTAACACACTAAGACAAGTGGGACAGTTCACATATCTGAGATCTTGCTTCAGACTGCAGATTCAGACAGCCCATCATCCATTTATATCCAGTTCATGCTTTTAAGGTTTCTTCACACTTGAAGGCTAAAAACAAAAATTAGACTCTGGAGTGCAGTTGTGTGGCAATTTCTGCAGCTCTGCTACATAAGCCCATAATAGCCAACGGTCTAAGATTTATTTGGGGAAAAGCAGGTCTGAATAAAGTTCCTTTTATGGAGGAGATTTTGTGCAGGGCTAATGTGACAAGGTCAGGGAGGCATCATGCAGTGAATTTGGTTTAACTTCTCTGAGACATTCAATAAACTGTTCTGTGTCCTGACACACACAGAAGTGAGTACAGAAGGTTGCTATTCTAGAGTTTGCAAAATGGAGTGACAACACTCAGTGTTTTTAAAGAATGAACAATTCTTTTAAGTTGACTGCATTGCTGAACTAACCAATCAATGTCTGCCCTCTTCCCAGCGATTACGAATACCTTCGCGAACACTTCCGTGAAAAGCACTTCCTTTGTGAAGAGGGACAGTGCAGTACAGAACAGTTCACTCATGCTTTCCGTACAGAAATAGATTACAAAGCACACAAAACAGCCTGCCACAGCAAAAACAGGGCCGAGGCCAGACAGAACCGACAGATTGATCTTCAGTTCAACTATGCTCCCAGGCACCAACGGAGGAATGAGGGTAAATCAGATTGGAAAGAATAAGTTGCCAGAAATACCTTCTTATTTCTTAATGCTTTGAAAGTTTTCAGGAACTCGGTTTGTAAATTGGCCATTTGTGGACTGAAAACTCATTACATCCCATTTCAAAATAAGGGGATTATTTTCACGGCTGACTTTCTGGTCTACCTTAGAATTGCTTGGGATACAGGTAATATGAATGAAGGGAGTGATAACCATGGTACTCCGAGGGGTACATCTGGTACTAAGAGTGGGGAGATACATGGATATTTTTTACTTTATTGGAAGCTGTACGTGGAAATCTCTGCACATCAAGATGAAATTTGTCCTAAACTTGAATCACAATCCCATAATATATGGAATCCATATAGTGCTAAATGCGTTTTAATGCAATAATGGTAAAGGCTAGCTAGTTTTATAAAATCAGTGATTGCTGATTGAAAGATACTAACATATACTGGTACAAAAGGACTTTTCCTGACTCTCAATCACCTATGGAGCGATGGGGTTATGTTCCTAGATTAGAAAAACAACGGAGAGAATGATTGGACATGTCTCCTGGTCAGGTATTGTAGGTGGAGAGGACTATGAAGAAGTTGACAGATATAACAGACAAGGACGACCAGGTAGATCGGGACTCCGAGGAGGGCAGCAAAACAGAAGAGGGAGCTGGAGATATAAGAGGTGAGTAACCCAGTGTGCTGTAGAACTTACTGCTGAATATTTTCTGATTTCTTAAATGATATAAACTTATAAAGAGTTATAAAGTTTGTAGACAATACCAAGCTGGGAGGGGTTGCAAGTGCTTTGGAGGATAGGATTAAAATTCAAAATGATCTGGACAAACTGGAGAAATGGTCTGAAGTAAATAGGATGAAATTCAATAAGGAAAATGCAAAGTACTCCACGTAGGAAGAAACAAACAATTGCACAATACAAAATGGGAAATGACTGCCTAGGAAGAAGTACTGTGGAAAGGGATCTAGGGGTTATAGTGGATCAAAAGCTAAATATCAGTGAACAGTGTAACACTATTGCAAAAAAAAGCAAACACATCCCAGAATGATATTAGCAGGAGTGTTGTAAGCAAGACACGAGAAGTAATTCTTCCGCTCTACTCCACGCTGATATGGCCTCAACTGGAGTATTGTGTCCAGTTCCGGGGGCCACATTTCAGGAAAGATGTGGACAAATTGGAGAAAGTCCAGAGAAGAGCAACAAAAATGATGAAAGGTCTAGAAAACATGACCTATGAGGGAAGATTGAAAAAATTGGGTTTGTTTAGTCTGGAGAAGAGAAGATTGAGTGGGGCCATGATAACTGTTTTCAAGTACATAAAAGGTTACAAGGAGGAGGGAGAGAAATTGTTCTTCTTACTCTCTCAGGATAAGACAAGAAGCAATGGGCTTAAATTGCAGCAAGGGAGGTTTAGTTTGGAGATTAGGAAAAATGTCCTAACTGCCAGGGTAGCTAAGCACTGGATCAGATTGCCTAGGGAGGTTGTGGAATCTCCATCAGGAGAGGATTTTGTCTAATCTGTTCTTAAACACCTGTCAGGTGTGGTCTAGAGTACAGGGGATTGGACAAGATGACCTATTGAGGTCCCTTTTCCAGTCTCACCTCTATGATGGTATTTTGGTGGGAGGGAAGTGAGAAAAAGGAGGAAACTGCAGTACCAACTCCTTAGATAAGGACGTGACTAGTTTTCGGTAGAAGTCTGGGCACTCCACGCACACAATTAAACAAAAGTATTTTACATGAAATGTCGAGACTCTGCACTTGCCAAAGTAGATGAGCATTGTAATCTTAAAGCTATCCTGAACTCTCCAACGCGTGGGTTAGTATAACGGAGAATTTTCTGGTTTAAGATAATTACTTTCATTCCTGACTTCTCTAAGTAGGATTTTCTGAAGTAACTGACATGCCTTTGCAGGCTTAGGGAACCTTGTTAGGTTTGGGCAATCATTAAGTTCCTGTTCTAAGGACCGTGCTTTTTTATTGAACTAACAGATCTCTGGTGGGCCTGTGCTTTGGAAAAAGAAGAGGGTTAAGTATTGAAATTAAACGGCACGTTGTCTCCTTTCATCCACACAATATCTAAGAGCTTCGTACCTACTGTACCTCTATTTTTCTTTCTTGCTGGGCAATCAGTGGTGTGTTTGTTACCGGTAACTTCACTGGGAAAATCCATCTCCAGGCACCATATACGTTGGTGTGTCGCATGTGGATCTTGCATGTGTTGGAAGTTCATGATGAGCCATATTACACTGAGTTACTTAGACTAACAAGTGAGGTTTTCATACCTTGAAAATGAATGGGAGAGACTAGTGTTCCCATGCATCTCTGATATGCTCATCCTGGTTCCTGCTGTACTTAGATATTGGTTATCACCATATGTGGAATTTAAAAGTCCGGTGAATGAATGTTGCCTGTTTCATCAGAGCCTGAACCTGGATGTGATGATATGAATTAAGTTGAGTTTCAGTTGCAACCTTTCCCAGCAGGTGGCAGCATAAGGCAGTTGACATAAAGTAGTTTGAATGTGAAATTTAAAGGTGAGAGTTGGAGTGAGAGACAAAGGTGCTTAAAAGCCCATTAGTCCTTTCTGTTAGACCTAAAAAACCTGTCCTGTCCTATAGGGAAGAAGAAGACCGAGATATTGCAGCAGCAGTCCGGGCATCAGTAGCAGCAAAACGGCAAGAGGAAAAGAAACAATTTGAGGATAAAGAGGATGGCAGTCGAGGTAAAAAAGAAGAATTGAGGGATCCAGAAGTGTCCAACACTAAGCGAGTGCCAAAGCCTTCAAATGAAGCCACAGGTTAGTTGTGTGCGTGTTCTGATGCCTGTAGAGAATTCCAACAGGCATGGGCAAAGGTGTGAATGGCTATGGAATGCATGGCAAAGAATTGATTTTGGCCATTAAAGAGACCAGCACAGCTAGCCTGCCTTGAAACACGTCCAAATGTAATTCCTTCCTTTGGGATTCCGGCAGCGTGTTCATATTTTAAATGGATCTGGGCAGAAATATTTGAACAGCCAAAATAATCAAACCAAAGTGTGCACAACATCCTGATTTGGCGTACAGACACTGGTAGGTTTAGATTGCACACCTCTATAAGTTGCATATCTCCCTTAGCGTGAAGAATTTAATTTCCAATATTGGTGTAAAATTGCTAGAATCAGAAAGTTAAGGCCTGCCATGTGGTACTTTTCCAAGTGAGGTCATTTTGGGCTTAAAAAATTATATACTAAGTACTGGTGTTTTAATGTCATTCTGTAACCTAAGTGCGAAACATTCCGGATACAGTATCCTAAAATACACTGAAGACTCATATAGCATTAACATCTCTATTTATTTGGATTATATTTGGAGTCAAGTATCAAACCTGTCATATATAAACCAGTGGCTTAGTGTCACTCTTCTTGACTATAGTTAATGTGCTGCAAGTTAAACCCAGGACATGGGGAAACAGTAGCAAATGTAGTTATCAGAATGAAAAAGTGCATTTTTACATTTGTTTAAAGTGCACGTCCATTTTTCTGAATTAGAATATCACAGTTAGCAGCAGCATAAAGTACCAAGAACAGAATTAGTTGTGGTGTCCTGATGCTCGTTGATAGATCTCAGGCAGAACGGAATGAATTTTAGTTAAGAGCATTTCTTTGGTCTTTTTGTCAAAGTTCCAAAAGAAGCAGCTGCTAATGGTGCTTTAAGCCAAGATGACTTTCCAGCGATTGGCTCAGCAGCAGGGCCCCTACAACGGTAAGTTTGTGCAAGATCATAGCAAAGTGAAGTCTGGTTTATAAGCTCACTTGGGTTCTGAGTTTGGCAGATAGTAGTTCTACAGATAATTTGAAGTTAAATTATTTCTGAGAAATTACTCCTCCTCCCCCCAAATTCTGGCTACCCAAACCACCCACGTGGCCTCAGTGGGACTGCTTGACAAGGTGTAGGCTGTCACTTCCCATGACTTGCTCGATCTAAAGGTTGCTTCAGATATGTTTCTAATCATCCCATAAGCCCATCCTCTTGGACCACTACTCCTTTTCTAGCCCTGCAGTTTATCTCCAGTAGATACACATCCACGCTCCCACAATACGTGCTGGCTATCTTCCTCTGAAGCCAGTGGTGGTCCCTAAAGTGGCTACCAGGCGACCGTCTCAAAGCTGGTGGCTACTGGAGTGCCCCTCTAAGGCTTGTGGTTGCTTCTGCTGTGTCTGGAATGTGAGCCTTCTAAGGCAGTGTCCAAGTCCAGGCCCAGACAACGTGCTGCTGAAGTCTCACTAGCCTTGCCGTGTGCCATCTCATGGGAAGGCTTTTGTAACACATGACCTATTTGTAAGCACGCATGCATTTTAATTTTACCCACAATTACTCGTGAGTCTCGACGCCTCCTCTAAGCGATAGTATTTTTGAGGGAAAACTGCAGTTAGACGATGAGCTCTTTCTGCCCAGTGGATTTGTCTCTCCTCTGTGCTGACCGTGTGACTGCTGTACACAGTGTTGTTTTCCCTTCCCACAGCTCTGCTCAGCCAGCAGCCGTTAAACTGAAGGAAGAAGATTTCCCAAGCCTTTCCTCCTCTGCAGCACCCACCATCGCTTCTGGGGTGTCTTTAACATACACAGTTGCTGCCAAGAAAACAGCCTTTCAAGAGGAGGACTTTCCGGCCCTGGTGTCCAAAATGAGGCCTAATGCTAGAACAGTGTCTAACATTACATCTGCATGGAGCAACAGTTCCAGTAAAAGCGCGGTTAAAGCCGTCACTTCCCTCAGCTCCAGTTCAAACCATCTGGCCAAAAAACCAGCCCCCTCGAACAGCAATAAAGGAAGCAAGAAGAGCGGTAAACTCTCCCTGTCCGATGACGAAGACAGTGGCAGTGGCTTGACGACCCAGGAGATCAGAAATACACCGACAATGTTTGATGTCTCCTCCTTGCTGGTAGCTTCCACCTCACAGACTTTTACTAAAGTGAGCAAGAAAAAGAAGATGGGAGTTGAGAAGCAAAGAGCGTCCTCTCCCCAGCTGCCAGAGGAGACCTTGCCTCCTGCAGCAGCTTTGGAAAAACTGGCAGAAGCTGAGCAGACTCCAAGTGCCCCTGCAAATCTTCACCTCCCCGGCAGATCCGCAGCTGTCACGAATGGTCACGTGGAAAAATCAGTAGCAATTTGTAGTGCATCCAAAGAGCCACCTGGCCTTAAAAAGCCTCCAGTGACTAACCAATGCCCTTTATCTCAGGAAGACTTCCCAGCGCTTGGGAGCTCGGGACCATCTAGAATGCCACCACCAGGTAACCCCTGCAAAAAGTCAGTCCCATTCTGACTAGCTCAAAGAAATGGGGTATGTGAAACGCGCAAGAGAGAGGAGTGGCTTCCATGGGTAGCCAAAATTACTCTTAAAATGGGAACAGTTTCCTGTAGCTCGCAGGGCTAGAGAGTAAAGTAGAAACATTTTAGCCCAGCAAACCTCATTGAGCAGTTTAAACTCCTTCCCTGCAGCCCCGTCCTGTTAAAATCCATTGAAATGTTGGGACATACCTGCCTCCTTGAACAGCAGAGCTGCTGTGTTCGGTCTGACACTTAGGGTAACTTGTAGATAAGCAGCCAGCCCTCTGAACACTCCTGCTTGTCTAATGAGTGATACCAGGTGTACCTGTGTGCTTGGGTATTCCAAGGGCTAGTTTGGAAGCTCCTTTGTGGAGGTACAGTCTGTCTTTCTACTGTGTGTGAACAGTGCCTAGCAGCATGATCACAGTATAAATACACATAGGCTTCACTGGTCAGTTACTCTGGTTTTACACTGATGTAATGCCCTTGCTTTTAGTGGTGCTATGATGGGTGCAACACAATGGGAAGTAACACAATAGTGAATCAGGCCCCTAGAATTGTGTAGTTTAATGTAGTCTGTGTATATAGCTAATAGATAGGGCAGTTCACTCATAAACACAGTCCTGCTGCGTTCCTAGTGGAAAATTCATGCTGAGAGCTCTCCCAGAGCAAAAGAATGACCTAAATGGCAGGGAAGAATCTGCGCTTTGGCGGAAAGTATCACTGAGAGGTTGAGAGCTGGTAGAGCCTATTTCAGATTGCCGTAGTTCAGCGTCTCTCCTACACCCAGTGCACCACATGGCACTTGCATCTCATGAAGGTGGCAACAAACAGCCATTGGTAGTAGAGCTCTCTGTTCTGTGTAATGCCAGATGGCAGCCCGCTGGAAAATGTCGGTTGTGTGGTTCAGGTGAAATAAAGCTGTGATCTTGCCTTTTGTTCCATTATGTAAAAAATGTGTTTTCCACCAGTGCATGTTTGTACTTCACTTTCTGTGGAAGCAGTAAATCAAGAGTTAGGGCTTGAACTTTGTGTCAGAAGAACAGCCAGTTCGTAGCATCTCTTGGTCTGACTAGGATCAGTGGCCTGTAAAACAGCAGATTAATCCCTTAATTTGAACTGTCTTCAGATACACTGGTACCTTTTGAGCTGTTTGGATCTTATAAATGGTAACGTATCATCTCTGCAGACTTCTGAGGGAAGGGAAGGAGTGGATCTGAGAGATGATGGGCTGTATAGCATAGACAGTGCACTAATTTCCTCCCCATTCTGTTATTTTAATCTAGGCTTTATCTCTGTGGCGCTATTAAAGAGTCCCCCTCCGCCTCCGGGGCTGTCAGTGCCTGTTAGTAAACCACCTCCAGGTTTTACTGTTATTCCATCCACCAATGTCTCTGATCCTGCCACTACATCTCTGAACGAGTAAGTAAAAGCGCTTTGAGAATTCACATTAGTCTACCCACAGTCTGTGCTTCAATTCCTCCATGTAGGGCTTCTTAGTATTGCATGCTGCTTTGGGGCGATCAGCCTGAACAGGTGAGGTTTAAGAGGCCGGCAGTATAGAAACGTAAGGACCTGATTCAGATCTCTGTTGTAGGGTCTGTGAGTCAGATTCCTGCTGATGTGTAGAGAGGGAGGTGTCAGTTACATTTTGGTAGATAGGTCTGAATCTGAGCAAGTCTAAACAGATGCAACATGTATGGTTTTTTTGGGGGGGGGGACCAGCTCAGAGTCCCTCATATTTGTCCCTAAACCTACAACAAGAAATCCTTAAAAACCTTGCATAGTGACTCCATCTCACCAGGGGAAGCATGACTTGCTGTCAAAGAAAGCGGCTCACTTCTAGTGTTGCACAAACATATGAAAGTTCCCTGCATAAGACACCCACACCCATGGTTTGTAAACACCAAGCTGAATTTGAAAGTGGGTTTTTAATTACCTGGGATTTGTGGAGTTTCCACCTGATGCCACCATGCTCTTTAAGTAACTTGGGCAGTGGGTTGGGTTATGATAGTAGATCAGAAACCTTTTTCCATTCTGCTTCCATATTGCTGGAGCAATAAGCAGAGTCTTGAATTTGCCTCCACTCTAGTAGTTGCAATATGCTGCTGCCTTGTAATAGTTCACTATGACTCACCTATGCATAGAAATATTTGTCTGCATAGGGGAACTTGCTTTTGGGGGGGAATTTACAAAGTACCCATAGCCTCTAAATGCCACTCTTAGTTCTGCTCCTTTCCCAGGTTGGTCTCTTTGCCATGTCTGCAGTGGGATGGGAGAAGGGGCAGTTTTCTCTTTGTTTTCCATTAAGATTGCTAACACGAGATAACTGTCCTCCTCATGCAGACATCTTGGGTTGTAAATAACTCCCCTTTGGTCCCAGTATGCACAAGGCCTTTGTGACTCGTATCAGTTAACACGGTTCATGAAGCGTGTTTCAGATCAGGCCAGTTTGGATCAAGAATAGATTAAACTTGCATTTTAAGTGTTCTCCCCATCCAGGAAGAACTGGGAGCAGATCCCCTAATCCTTAGGTGATGCCATTCCAGCATCTCCTTGGGATGGGTGCATGTTGCCAATGGGAGTTCCGTGTATAATTGGGTGAAGCGGGTAGCATACCCCATGGTGAGAGAGTGGCAAGGGCCACTGTAACAAATCGAAGACATTTTTCAGTCACTTTCCATTGCATGGAGTGTTAATTCACTTTCTTTCCAAATGCAGGCCAAAACCCTGTCGAGGCTCTTACTTGATACCTGAAAATTTTCAACAAAGGAACATTCAGTTAATACAGTCTATAAAGGAATTTCTTCAAAGTGATGAGTCTAGATTCAATCAATTTAAAACTCATTCTGGACAGTTCAGACAGGTAAGTAGGGGAGACTCTTAGAAATATTTGAAGTCCTACTTGGTTGTCAGCTCATTGAGGGTTGAGGCAACAAATGAACAGTGAGGTTGAGTGGTTAGAGGTACCGAGGGATGAATTTCACCCTCGGTCAGTAGACTCTTCCTTTTCGTTGCTAATTGTCCTGATTCTCTTTTAAATAAAGGGGCTAATTTCTGCGGCAGAGTATTACCAAAGCTGCCGAGAGCTGCTTGGAGAGAACTTCACGAAAATCTTTAATGAGTTATTGGTCTTGTTGCCAGACGCAGCTAAGCAGCAAGAACTGCTTTCTGCTCACAATGACTTCAGAATCAAGGAGAAACAAGGCTCAAACAAACCCAAAAAGAACAAAAAGAATGTCTGGCAAATGGACTCCGCTTCTGCCCTGGACTGCTGCATCTGCCCGACGTGTCAGCAAGTGCTGACCCAGCAGGACATGGCCTCTCACAAAGCTTTGCATATTGAGGATGAAGAATTCCCTTCCTTACAAGCAATCAGCAGAATCATCAGTTAGCTTTCACAAAGACCAATAAAACAGTCTCAATCTTCAACGTGCACTTTTTGGAACGAGGTTTGACAGTGTAGTGCAGCCAACTGTGAGGGCCAGTTGAGTAGTCTTACGCAGGTTAGCATTGGGAGGCTCAGTGCAGCCCTGCCTAAAAGTGCTGTGTAAAGGGGATCACTGGACTACACCTGTATCGAATTAACACCCAAAATGTTAGCGTCCTAAACACCTGATTAGAAACAGGCTAACATTGCAGGTTCGTCAGGCGAGTGGCCACCGTCCACCTTGCAAGACACTACAGTTAAAAGGTGGAAATCTATCATTGCTATTGGTGGAAACGGCTCTACGGTGGTTTCCTTAATATTCTGGTTACAGCTAATATTCTGTCTTTGTGGCCACAAAGAGTGAGGGAGGTAATTGGTGCAGAGTTAGGGAGAGAGATGGAAGCTGCTACATTGGTGAATAAGACCATTAAAATGTATGCTGTAAACACCTAGAGGTTTATATAGCAAAGAATATTCCTGGCTGAAAGCTAAAATACTACTACTACTACTTGAATTGGACTGATCTTTCTCTGTGATTAGTTGAACCTGGGATTTGAAGTTGCCTCTGACTTTCTATGTAATCGTGTTCTTTAAAGAAACTTATTTTGTAGTACTGCATGTAGTAAAGTAGCGTTCAAAGCTTTATTCTCTTCAAAGGGCATTTTGTTCACCATAATTTTATTTAACAACTGCCATGTTTGATTTCTTGGATGTGTTAATGGTGTTAGCACAAAACACATAGCATATTGGAACATGAAATGCTGCTGGTCGCTGACCATTCTGGTATTCTGCAGTGCCTTTAAGTGCATTTATGTTTGCAGTGGTCTGCAGTGAAGGGGATAAGCTGTTAAGAATTGTAGGAGTGTTTTACTTCCTGGGACTCCCTTGGTGACAACAGTCTGGAGGAGCTTTGCTCCTACCACGTGGCATTTATAAATCCCAATTGGAGGGGCTGGGGGGGATCTGTCAATCATCTGAAGCAACTCCTCCAGCAGCAGCGTTAACTCGAGGGAGTGTCGAGCAGCTTTCCTGTGGTGCACTTTCATAGCTGCAGCTTCTTAGTGTCTGACGCACACCAATCATGGCAGACCATGTTTAATTTTTACCACATAGGAATACAAATGAAAATTAATTTTTGAGCGACAAGACACTGCTTTTATTTAAGCAGCACTTCTATGAAACTGAGCTTGAGCTGTTGAAGCATTAGTCTTGGCTACCGAAATGAATGATCTTTGCCTTCTCTTTTATTATTGATTTTTGCTTGATGCCAGACTGCACTATCTGTGGGTTATTTGTTTTCATATAACTCAGGATATTTTGGAGTACCTGATCTTGTACCATTATTCATAGGGCCAGGCTATATCCCCTGAAATGGAGAAGAAAAATGATTTTCTAAGGGGTGTATCTTGTTGCATGATTGTGTATATTATGCATGTATATATAGCAAAGGTTAATGTTTTCAAATTATTGTTCCTAAGTTTTAAATCTCTATTTCCCATGCAGTAGAGATTGGTATTTTTACGTTGGTCATGCTGCCACAATTAAAAAGTACTTTCACTATGAAAGCACTTACATGCTTATCTGTTAGCTATTGACCCATGACGTAAACTGCTTTCCCCTTGTCGCTTAATTTGGTTTGTAAAGTTCAGAGGTGATGAAATGCATATTCTTTGAAAGAGCATCTTATGTCTTCCCTTTATTTTCAGTTAGTTTCTTCTGTATTATCAAACCGTTATGTAGTCCTCACCTAGGGGATTGAGAACTTGAAGTGACCCATCTATCTAGCCTGATGCAGGTTCGTTGTTCCATGTGCTCACATAATTAAATAAAGTATTATTGGAGTTTTCAGGCCACTTCTATTAATTTTTAAATCTTTATTGAAAATAAGTTGCAGTTGGTACACGGACACTGAAAATACACAATCACAGATTGTTCTTTCAAAAGATCAATACAAAAATTGTAAACATTTTTATTTACTCCCATACATAGTCCACTCTATACTACAATGCACGTAGGATTACTGACAACTGCAACTCTTTGAAGCAGTCTGCTTGTAAAGAGGTATCTGCAAAAAATTAAATTCGCAAACCACATTTGGTATCAGTTTGATATTAAAAACTATTAAAGAATCTGAGGTTTAAATGCATATTGCAACAAAATACAGGCAGCTAAATTTGGGCTTCAAGTTGATACATGAAAAGGCCATCGTTTAAGCCTCATTTGTGAGGGTTTTCTTGACACGAATGGCCCCAAGAAGCACTGTTTGTTAAAGTACCATGAATAAATGTATAATGGAAATGGGCTAACAGGCTCCCTACACACACACACTAGAAAAAAGGCCAAAAAGTGAGTTTGTGAAATTTTAAGGTAGTTCTATATAAAAGAAATACTGATTCCATGGAAATGACTTCGTGATAAATGATGTCCTTAAAGTTAGCCTGTATCACACCTGCAGCATGTAGAACTGAAACGTAATCTGCAAACACTAACTTTTTGATTTGTGGTGGGAGAGAAGAGGGAGTGTGAATTACTGGGAATGGAGACCTGAGGAAAAATAGGAAATGTACATGCTAGAATAGTAAGTGCTAAGTATTAACATGAACTGATCTTCAACCTAGCTGTGAAGTAGGGTAAGTACTATGTGCACTTTACAGGCCAGGAAACTGGCCTACTTCAAAGCATCTGTGCCAAAAACAAAACTTAACTCCGTGGTGGTGATGACGTTACTAGCACAGGGACCAAACTCTGTACACTATTTTAAAGACATTTTGGTATGGACAAAGGAAAAAACCAAACTTTTCTACTAAACCTCAGTTTATCATGTCCTCTTTACTCACTGGGAATAATGAAAAGGTAGGAAATGATACTTTTTCCTCAGTGAGACATTGCCAATATACAGCTGTTCTTTCGACCCTACGATATTGAACATGCGAAAACAACAATGAAGCTTACACAAAAGCACGCTGTTTGCTTGTTAACCTCGGTGTTGAGCTGTATCTCTGTTGCTGCACCAAGGCATCCTCTATCAAGGGTATTTCTATAGAACAACTCTCCAGCAAGGCATATGTGACTTTTTTTTTAAGCTCTATTCTTTACACCCAAACTTCATGCTAACACGAATGCAGAAGCTTTCAGCAGACTAGCCTGAGAGCAGCATAAACTGGCCCTCTGTATGGTAAATTATCTACTGGGCTTTTGGAGATCTCTAGGGAACACGATGCAGTATATATGTAAACAGCCTGCAAGAACAGCATATGGAGAGCAACTGGCTTGACACTCAAATTCACAGCAAAATCCTGGCATGCTTATAAGATTTGGTCTGGATCGTTACAAGAAAAGCAGCTAATATCTACTGAACCACAGTGACTTTACAACAGAAAAATAGGAAAGAGAAAAGGGTGATCTGAATAAGTAATATGGGAACCCACAAATAATGTACTACAGTTACTACACCTACATCTAGTAATTTGCTATCCATAGTCCATAAGAATCTATTTAATTACATCTGTATCTGTGTATACTAGTCTACTTCACAATTCACTGATACATAGATGTGCTACCACAACAGTTAATAAACAGCACTATTAACACTAAAAATGGCTACAGGGAACGCCTTGGAATCTTGGAAACAGGATTTAATGCAAGTGGTAGGCACGTCTCATTACTGGCTGCAGTGAGGTCAAATGTCTTATGCTACCTTTAAGCATATCTGTTAATTCAGAAGGTTCTTTAACAACTAATAATCTATGCTACTACCCAGTAAAATAGAGTTAAACAGGAAGTTCACCATGCTGGCAAACAAGCCAGGAAAAATGTCTTTAAAAGTTTTGTAAATACTGTTTCCAAGGCAGGTGTGACTTGCACATTTCAATACAACATGAATTACGCTTCTCTGACGTGACTGGCTAAACCAGCCTCAAGTGTAATTCATCACTGTTGCCTAGATAGGGTAGCAAGTGTGCAGTGACTACCCAGGCTTCTACACTGCTGTCCCAACACTAAAGGCAGATCAGCGTTGGGTCCAGGGAGGCTGGAGCATGGCACTTGCTTTTATTCTCTTAAGCACCAGTACAGCAGGGAGTGGAATAATTGGGGGACGGGGAAGGGTTTCAGCAGTAGAGAGAGCGGGGCAGGACTGCCTTCAGCTGAGCGAGTGCTGCTGTAATCTAACCTTGCCCTGACTGAGTAGGTTCTAGCTTTGTATGCCTCTGCTTCTAAGCCAGTAGCAATCTAAGCCACCACTAAAATGTCCCTGGTGCTCAATCCACCTCCCCAAACCTGGAAAAGTAGCTAGTTTCCTAAGGGGGGGTTACATTAAAAGTGTCATTAAACATAGTGACTATTTGAGCGAAGATTAGAAAATGAAATGTGGCCCTGAGGAGAGCAATGGTGCCCCTTGATTGTGAAGTTAATGCCTGCAGGTGTTAAGTCACAGCCACATTGTCTTGCCTCTGATCCTCATGCAATACTTTAGGGTTGCTGCCCTCAAGGCCAGTCATTATTGGTGTATCTGTGTGCAGCTATATATTTTTTTTGCATTGACTGTACTCTTGTACAGACCTCAGCGGAAATCCATTGAGTGTTCCATTTGGGGAGGAAAAAATGAGAAAATGCAATGTAGGCCTCAGGTGCTTACATTCATATTGTAATATTTAGCACGTGTACACCACTGATCAGGACAGTTCTAGCAGTCAGACAGAACTTAGTTCTTTACAGTTACAAGGAAACTCTGGAACAGGTATATAGTTAGAAAAAATACAACGTACTGAACAAACATTATCTCACATGTACAATCAATTTAAGTAAACATTTAAATTGATTATAATTTTGCTAAAATATTAACACAAGTATGTTTTGTGCTGCTAAATTTTCAGTGTTCCCTCTAAGGAAAATATTGCTACGGCTCTACTGTACCCTGTAGGAAAATAATTTGATTTCCCCCCCCCAGCAAGGCTGATTTGGTAGAGAATCACAATGGTCATATAATTAACTTAGGTGTATAATGTACTAGGATTCAGATGTTCTCTGTCCTCTTAATGTGAGGGTTTCTCAGTGCGTTCCTGTCAACTGCAACCTTCCCTAATGCATTTGCCTGTTGCATCTCCTTGCTTCACGCCAGCAGGAGGCGCCTGGCTTAAAGACGAGCAGCAGCCTGTGGCTTGCCCTCAGCTCCTTTGCTGTTTGGGACAGGAACCC